TCTTTTGAGGTGGGTCTAAAAAGGTGACGTATTCCTTACCGCATGGCAAGTCACACGGTAAAGACAGTTATGAGTGAATAGGAAGTTGACATCGTTTTCGGATTCGTGGAATGAACTATTAAAGAATAAAATATGGGTTTCTTTGTAATGGTAGTCCCACATTGAAAACTTAAAAGAACTTATATGTGTATATAAGTTCTTGGTGGCAACACTTAGGTTGGGCCCCAAGGGCACCCCAAGTATGTAGAAGGGAAGAGTTATGGACAAAGTGAGTCTTGGCTTAAACCACCACACATGCACGTGCGCCGCGGCAGGCGTCCGTCCTATCGGCCGGCCGAGTCGAGCTGGGTGCAGGTTATGGGTTGGGTCATTACATTAATTTTTTGGACAAAATTTATTTGAATTTTTTCCTAAAATTCTTACTGGAAAATATTTTTTCTGAACAAAATTAATTCAAACTTTTTTGCCAAAATTTGAATTCAATTTTTTGCCTCATCCTGTCCAAAATTCCCTTCCAGTCTCCAACAAATTCAAACTGTCTAAACAGCTTGAAACTGCCTATTTTGGATCAACTTTGAGCCCAAATTTGAGTAGCGCCCACATGTCTTTTGAGGTGGGTCTAAAAAGGTGACGTATTCCTTAACGCATGACAAGTCACACAGTAAAGACAATTATGAGTGAATAGGAAGTTGACATCGTTTTCGGGTTCGTGGAATGAACTATTAAAGAATAAAATATGGGTTTCTTTGTAATGGTAGTCCCACATTGAAAACTTAAGAGAACTTATGTGTGTATATAAGTTCTTGGTGGCAATACTTAGGTTAGGCCCCAAGGGGCACCCCAAGTATGTAGAAGGGAAGAGTTATGGACAAAGTGAGTCTTGGCTTAAACCACCACACATGCACGTGCGCCGCGGCAGGCGTCCGTCCTATCGGCCGGCCGAGTCGAGCTGGGTGCAGGTTATGGGTTGGGTCATTACATTAATTTTTTGGACAAAATTTATTTGAATTTTTTCCTAAAATTCTTACGGGAAAATATTTTTTCTGAACAAAATTAATTCAAACTTTTTTGCCAAAATTTGAATTCAATTTTTTGCCTCATCTTGTCCAAAATTCCCTTCCAGTCTCCAACAGATTCAAACTGTCTAAACAGCTTGAAACTGCCTAGCAGCTATTTGTTCAAAACTGTTTGCACCTGTTCAATTGAAATTAGACCTGTTCAGGTTTGAAACCTACTTGTTTGGGTCTGTCCCAACAGTCACCATTTGCCTATAAATAGAGATCATTTCCAGCAGATTTTCACATCTAGAAAACATTATTCTCTTCCCATTTTGAAAACCTACCTGTTTGAGTCAGTCCTAACAGTCACCATTTATCTATAAATAGAGATCATTTACAGCAGATTTTCACATCTAGAAAATATTCTTCTCTTTCCAGTTTTGCTCTGTGTGTGCATTATTCTTTATTCTAGTTCTTAGGAAAAAATTCTGAGAGTATAGAACACAGGGTTTTGTTCGCCGCATAAATTGTTTGGAGTGCTACTTCAATCTGTGTAGATCATTGCATACTAGAAGATAGATGCCACTTATCCGTAAATACCGTAGTGGGCCGAATCTGTCTTTATGACAGAATGTCACACACTCGACTTGATCTTTTTTTTTATTCGGCTCAGTAAATAAATTTTGTAAGTAATTTATTTTTTATTTGTTTGATTTGTTTCAAGTTTTTATTTTACACAGAAGATTGTTTTAACAATCTTAAGTATCAATACAATTTTTTGACTCAATTTTTTCTCTTACAAAAAACAAAATTTAATAAATGCAATAAAAAAACAATTAAAAAAATTATGACTTTTTATTTGTGATTCCAAAATCAGTTTAAAATATTATTTATCACATTATGATTAATACAATAGTGATATGTCACCTAATAAACAAAATGTAATAATAAAAACTCAAAAATCCTATGAAACATGAAAAGATATTTCAAAATTTATTCTGAAATGAATTATATGACATAAATTTAAAATTAATATAATGTCATCCAATCTAAAATGATGGTGACTCATAAATATAATGATTGTGATTCATAAATATATTTTTTAGAGTAATATTTTTTAGAGTTAATTAATTAAAAGTTCTATTTATAAATGTTATGGTAGTTCATATGCTATTTAAGATTTTTTGAACCAATAAATCTTATTTAATAAAATTGAGAATATTATTAGTTTACATTATGAATTTTATATAGTAATGTTCCAGATAATTGTTTCACTAACTGATAAAAAAAGACAGAGCATAAGATTAAATATTTTTGTCATTCTACTTATTGGTTTGATTTAACTATTCAATAAAACTAAGAACATTATCAATTTTTTTTAATTTTAAAATTGATAACATTATCAATTTTTTCATTTTTAAAGTTTTTTTTTTCAATTTTGCACATCAATGTTCCATCGTCATGCCTTTTTATAGACACAAAATTTTTAGTTTTATCCAAAAAAAATAGTTCAATTTTTTCAAATTTTTCAAAAAAAAAGAAAAAAAAAAACATAGTTTTTTCTTTTTTTTTAAAAAATTTTTTTAAATTTGAAAGTTGATATTTTAAAGTTTTGAAAATCAATAAATGTCAAATTATCATATTTCTTTATAGATAATCATAAATAATGAACAGTCATTGTTTGAAGGGTAATTCTGACTATTAAAAATTTAGTGGGACTTGAAGGTTCAAAAATTCTTAATTAAAATTTAATAGAGTATAAATTTATAAATTATGACTTGTATGTAAATGTCCCTATTTTTTAAAGTTGGTAGTATTATTTGTAATAATAATAATACATCCCTCTAAAACTAAAACTCTAATTGAACTTTAGTGAGATGAAAAATAAAAGGGGTATTTTTTTTAAGGTCCCTGATATTATGATTTTATAGTATAAAGGACATCAAATATTTTTATGATGTCTAAGGTCCCTCAACATCAATCCAGAGAAAATTGGTCCAGAGAAAATTCAAGTCAGAGAAAATTGTCCAGAGAAATTCTGGACTTCCCAAAGAATTTCTCTGGGTTCAACCCAGAGAAAATTCAAATTTCTCTGGGTTCATTTTGACCAATTTTATCTGGTTTCAAATTCAAATTCAAATTTCATTTATAAACCAGAGAAAATTCAGATTTTTCTGGATTCATTTTAACCAATTTGTTGCAACACTACTATCATTATACTGGAGCTTATAAAATAAACTCTGCAGAGCCAAAGGAATGCTTGCAGATGGTAAATCATTCTTAGTTGTGGGCATGTGATACATGGCCTGAATACACAATCTACAATATCATCTTCTGCTCCTAATAACTTCATGTAAACAAACCGTAACCAGATAGAGAAAAAATTGGAAAAGAACAACTAACCTTCCTGAAGGTATATGATATAGGGTCTAGAGGAGAGAGTTCATGTAACAAGTTGCTCCTTGGTTTTTCAGGCCCACAAAACCAGTCTCCTTCTTTGAGTCATATGCCCAGCAATTAACAACCCTACGAACAGCAACCTCGGCTTCAATTATACATGTATCATTCGCAAGATAGCCTCTGCCAAGATCGTACAGTTCACTAAGAGGCATAAAAGATTTGAAACCCCAATCACTTTCACGGGTTTCTCCAGGGAAATTTCATTGACTGTTCAATTACTTTTCAAGCTAAAATGATCATGTTTCTCCAACTGTTGTTACTCACCACTCTATAATCTATAGAAACTAAACAACAATTGATTTAACAGAAGATTTTTTTTAATTTCCAAGTTATAAGCATCAACAACTCTCACTTTCATTAAACTCCATCCATCTACAAGATACAAGTCCCTACAAGAACAGTCCAAAAATAACAGGCTATTTTTTTAAAGCTCCATCAAAAAGTTCCACCAGAAGAAGTAAAAGCAAATCCATGGTATAATATTGGTTCAATATAATTCTTAGATTTCATCTCTTTGCTGATAATACAAAGAGCAGCAAAGATTGCCAATGCCTATTACATCCAGAGAAATTTCTCTCCAGAAAAATTCTGGAAATTTCTCTGGACTTTGGAATTTCTCTCCAGAGAAATTCTAAATTTCTCTGGATTCTCTGTCTACGTTTTAACCAAATTTCTCTGGACTTCGGAATTTCTCCCCAGAGAAATTCTGTGTTTTGAACAATTTTCTCTGCACTTCGGAATTTCTCTCTTTTATTCTGTGTTTTATTTTGTCTTTTAAATCTTTCTTTTAGCTTTCTTTGATGTAGGTAATGGCACATTTGGTAAAATTTTGATCCTGACGCTATTATTAATAGGCAGGAAATTTTGTAAAAGATGAAGTTTAGCATGCCCTTATTGTTGTGATAAACAATGCATCGAACCTCCATGGATATACAGTACAATTTCTGTACAGAGCAGTCCAAACATCAGGGAAGCTGCGTCGGCGGCAGGGATTCTCTGTCATCGACTTGTCAGTGGAAGCTGCGTCGGCGGAAGCTTTGACTGCGGCAGCCACATCCATCACCGGAGTTGAAATCGTTCTGTGCCTACAGCTTCCAGACGACTCTTATGTATGGGACAGATTGGCAATAGTTAGAGCCTTGAATCAAGCAAGGATACAAATGGACATACTCAAATTTCTCTGAGATATGTTTAGGGACCTTAGACATTGAAGGTTCAAAAATTCTTAATTAAAATTTAATAGAGTATAAATTTATAAATTATGACTTGTATGTAAATGTCCCTATTTTTTAAAGTTGATAGTATTATTTGTAATAATAATACATCCTTCTAAAACTAAAACTCTAGTTGAACTTTAGTGAGATGAAAAGTAAAAATAAATAAAAATAAAACGAAAATATCATATCAAATTGGCTCTACATACATTTAAAGCTATTAAAGCTTCTAAAAGCTCCAAAATATTTTTGTATTTGTAAAAAATAGTCATGATGACATTATTGTTTTTTTCCCACTATTTCAAGCTTTATATAGAAGACTCGCCTCAACCTTACCTTCTCAACGTGGGGGTCAATGAAAGAAAGAAAGAAAGTTCATGGAAAAAGCTAAAAGCTTAAAGAAAGCTGATTTCACAAAGCAAGCGGCATGCCCTTTCATCCATCCAAACTCTCTCTCTCTCTCTCTCTCTCTCTCTCTCCATTGCGGTCTGTGAGTAAAGCTGAAAAAAACATCACCCACTTCAACGACTGTGCAGGTAGGGATTAATTGTGGTTAATCTATCAGATATATTCAACAAAAGCACAAGAATTCATTCACCCATGTTAGACAACAACACTGGCTCAGTTGGCCCCTCTTCTTCTTCTGAAAATGGGGTAGCAAAAAAAAGAAAAAGAAGGCCTGCTGGGACCCCAGGTACACACTACAGTAGAGTCTACATGTATTATATGTATGTATGAATATATTGAATTTTAGATACTGGGTTATGTTGAAATTTTGGGTTTGTGACAGATCCAGATGCTGAGGTTGTTTCACTATCACCCAAAACCCTATTGGAATCGGACCAATACGTGTGCGAGATCTGTAACCAAGGGTTTCAGAGAGACCAGAACCTTCAGATGCACCGGAGGCGGCACAAGGTGCCGTGGAAGTTGGTGAAGAGGGAGGAGTCGGTGGGCGAGGTGAAGAAGAGGGTGTTTGTGTGCCCTGAGCCGAGCTGCTTGCACCATGACCCGTGCCACGCTCTCGGGGATCTTGTGGGGATAAAGAAGCATTTCAGGAGGAAACACAGCAACAATAAGCAGTGGGTGTGTGAGAAGTGCTCAAAAGCCTATGCTGTTCAATCTGATTACAAGGCCCATCTCAAGACTTGTGGCACCAGAGGCCATTCTTGTGACTGTGGCCGTGTTTTTTCCAGGTTTTAATTCTTCATACTTTTCTTCATTCAAAGGGTTTTGTTTTTATATGAATTTTTGCTTTATCTCTTCTTGTTTGTTGATGATGAATTGCTCTACCCATCTATCATCTATTTTTATAAATTTGAACTGCAAGCCAAAAGGGTTTTATGATTTTAGTAGATAGATAGGCATGCTCTCTCTCTCTCTCGCTCTCTCTTTCTCTCTGTCTCTCTCTCTCTCTCCACAGAAACAAACCCTAAAGTTTCCAAATAAATTTGCAAGAAAAGGATATCATTATATAAAAATATTAAGACATTTTCTTTGGTTTCATTCTCCTTTCCTCGAGCGTCTCTTGATTATAGTCTGTTTTCTCCATATGTTTATTCATTTAGTTTAAATTTGTACGATTCGAAGTTTTTATTTTTATTTTTTTGGTGGAAGATTCTAACATCTTCTAATTCTACATGACCTCAAGTTTGGCATTGTGTGTGATAATTAGGGCAGCCAATGGAAGTGTGAAGGCAGTGAATTACAATTCCCGATAACAGTTTCCATTGGCAGTAATAGCAATTGCTACAAACACAAACTAGCCATGTAATTTTCTTCTCCCTCACGGGTCATGGTTTTAAATAGCGGTATCGGATATCGGTATTTGTATTGGTGATACGGCCAAATATCAGTCTATATCAATGGATATATCAGTAAATACAAGGTATATTGGAGGTCCCAAATTCTGATGTATTGGCCAATATTTAGAACTATGCCCCAGTTTGGAGAGGTATAGTATGGGAAAGAAAAAGTTTGGTTCTGACAAGACTCTGAATTTATAAATTCTTGGTTTTGTTTGTGATGAGACTCGAATTCGTGATTTCTAGTGGAGTACAAAAAGTTTCTCCAACTCAACTAACACTAGTAAATTAAAAAAAAAAAAAAACATTATTTAATAGTATTGCAAACCAAATCATAATCTAAGTCCATCCCCGTCATCTATTTTTTTTATAATTGTTTGATAGTTGGTAACCCTACATGAAGAAACTTTGATTACTTCCTTGACTTTGTTCTACACTCCAATACTAGAATACTGTTATTTATACATCAAGGTCAAGGCACCTGATTTAATATAATAAAATCATGACTTTGTGTTTAAACCATTGTATCTTTTGTCTTTATAGAGTAGAGAGTTTCATTGAACACCAAGACACTTGCACTCTCCGGCCGGCCCTGCCTGAATTACAGGCATTGCAGCCGTCCTGGTCGCCTCGAACAGCTTCAAGCATGACTCCAACGAACGACACCAATTTCAGCATTGCTCCAATATTGCCAAGATTAGCCGTGCCAAAGCCTGTTGGACCTGTGTTTTTATGCCCAGAGCGACACAGTTCCTCTAACACTGATGATCAGCAACATAATTTGGAACTTCAGCTGCTGTCATCATCATCAAATGCTTATGCATCGGCATTGCAAATTTGTGATGAAAATCATGCAACCAATTTGAAACTCTCAATTGGATCATGCAGTCAAGGTGAACAAAACTGCACAAATTTGGATGCAGGTAGAAGCTATCGACCGGAAAGGAATGCTACAGAAACCAGATTGGAGGCATCAAGGTTGAAGGAAGAGGCAGATGAGAAGCTAAAGTTGGCAATGTTTGAAAAGGCGTATGCCGAAGAGGCTAGAATACAAGCCAAGAAGCAAATTGAAATGGCTGAGTTGGAATTTGCCAATGCCAAGAGAATTAGGCAACAAGCACAGGCTGAGCTTGAAAGGGCTCAACTTTTGAAAGAGAAGGCTACAAAGAAAATCAGCTCCACGATTTTGCTAATTACATGCCATTCTTGTAAGCAACAATTCCAAGCAACAACAACATCCATTGCACGAGCTGATGAGACCTCCCTTGCTGCCAGTTATATGTCCTCAGCCACTACTACAGAAGGAGATTGAAACCACCAAACACATCATTCAAATTTTCTAGCTAATCTCTCTCTCTCTCTCTCCCTCTCTCTCTCAATGAACTACTATTTTAATTTGTTTCTTGTAAATCATCTCTTTTATTTAGAATGCTAAATCATGAGTCTGTCCACCGTTCAGCAATCTAGTGTGCAGAGGTTTATTCAATTGTGTGTTTTAATAATTTTCTGTGTTGAACATTTCTTCATTCATTAAAGGTTAAAGAATTGTGATCATGAAGGTTTGGTTTTTCCTGTAATCATTTCGATCTGAGAAGTCTCATTACATCATCACTTCTTTGTTTTATTCTTTCCTAGCTACCAAACAAGAGAGAGAGAGAGAGAAAGAGAGCAATTTGTTTTTGTCATGTCATGTGTGAGATATTTCAAATTTGATTTGTCTGACTTGTTTATGGTTCTGTAACTTTTTGCTTGTTGGTTCACTGTGCTTTTCCTGGTTTGAAAGGGAAAAAGAATAACCGAAGAATGGGTTAAATAATGACAAACATACAAATAAATTAATCGCCTTGCATGTGTGATGAGGGATTATCATAATCAATCACTGTATAGCCTTTAAGGACCATTGCTCACGATGTAGTCTCTACGTGCATAGAGATTTGAAGTTGGCCAGTGCGATTTGCACTGTTGATGTACTTAAAGGTGATTCTCAACCCAACTGACAAATCATGGAAACAATCTAATCTGTGATTCTAGGATTGGTCTTTCGTAAATGGGTCTGTAACCAGCAAATAGCCTTTATATTTGCTTTCCAATTTTGATCATTAAAAGAACATTAAAGCCTACGGATAAGTTGTTTAATAATTTCTTAGTTATTTTATAAAAAAACTATGTAAAAAAATAAAGAAAGTGATATGATAATTTATAATAATTTTTTAACTTTTAATTAAAATTGAAGGTTGCCAAACAAAGCCTAAACTCCTAAAAAATCAATGACTAAACACACTAATTAAAAGAAGACTATGCTTTTTATAAGATGTTTTGAGTCAATTATTCATACAAACTATTAAGTTGATGGAAAATTTAAAACCCCTTAACTAGAGAACATTTATTTTTTAAAAAATATACTATGAACATGATTTTGATAATTTTTTGAAAACAAGTAGGACCTGTTCATGTTCTCATGGGTTACCATCTTTTGTTTTCTTTGGAGATATTTACACTTACTCTGCAAAGAGTTTCTTGAAATTGGTCAATAGCCATTAGCACTGATATGTTGGTACACTGCCATTTATTTATTTATTTTTTGACTATTATGAAATAATCTAATGTCATTGATTAAAGTATAATTTTAGTGTAAATAGCTTACACCTATCACATTATCTTGCAAAATATTAGTGCTCTATTGGGCTTTGAACAATTTTTTAATATTTTTACCCAATAATTACTCCAAACATTGTACTCCTAACTGCTAAGTGGCTAACAATTTTAAAATATCAATTTCAAATTTATTTTAATAATGTGAACAGTTATATATCAATTGTTAAATTATTAGACAAATTACACTAATAGTTCCTATAGTTTGGGACTTGTATCACTTTAGTCCCTAACTTTTCAATTGTGACACATTTGACCCAGAATTTTGAATCTTGTTTCAAATAAGAACAATTGAATATACTATTACTTAATTTCAAGGACAAAATCATCAATTTAATAAAATATAAACTAATTTGATCAAAATAAATTTCAAAAAAATATTTTTGAATATTTAAAAATAATTTCTACCCACTGAAAATAAAATTATGTAAAATTGATAAATTTTTAGACATTTATATATTTATTTATTTATATTAAATTAATTTTTACTATGGGTTTGGATGATGATCATGTAATGGGCAGTTTTTATTTTCATTAAATTAGTTTCTATTTTTTCAAAAGTCAAATATGGTGACAACTTTAATATCATTATTAAACCAATCCATTAAATCAAAAATCCAAAACTAAAACCATTTCATATATTAAATATATCGATTACACATTATAATCCTAACAACCACCCATTACATGTCATCATCCAAACACATAATAAAAATTAATTTTGTAAAATAAATAAATGTGTAAAAAATTTATCAATTTTACATGATTTTGTTTTTGATGGGTACAAATAATTTTTAAAAATTTAAAAATAATTTTTTGACATTTGTTTTTGTCAAATTAGTTTATATTTTATTATATTGATGATTTTGCCCTTGAAATTAAGTAATGGTATCTTCAATTATCCTTATTTGGAACAAGATTCAAAATTTATGGTCAAATGTGCCACAATTGAAAAGTTAAGGACCAAACTGACACGAACTCCAAACTATAAGAACTGTTAATGTAATTTGCCCTAAATTATTTTAAAAAATCAATTAAGATCCAACACCTAACCATGCTATTGTGTATAAATTTATTAGAAAAAATATATATAAGTTTAATTTTTAAATCTTACTTTCTAAAGTTAATGATGTGTAGGTGGAATAAAACCAGACATGATGAAGAGAAAGAGAGACAAAAATAATACAAGAAAATGATTAATTAATTGATCATTAGACTTAAAAAATAGACTAAATTATGCAAATTATTCATGCAGTTTACACAATGTGTCAATTTGGTTTCTGTTATTTCAATTTGCTCGATTTTTTCTCTTAATTTAACGGATTGTGTCATTTTAATCCAATAAATAACTGTTGTTAAGTTTGGCGGACGGAAAATTTACGCAATGTGTCAAGTTGGTTCCTGTTGTTTTAATTTGCTCGATTTCGACTGGGACCAAATCGACACATTATGTAAACTACATGGATTAAATTGATACATAGTTTAACTTTTCGTCCATCAAATTGAACCACCGTTATTTATTAAACTAAAATAATACAATCCGTTAAATTAAGGGACAAAATCAAGTAAATTGAAACAACAGAAACCAAATTGACATATCATATACACTACATAGACTATTTGTATAATTTACCCTAAAAACTAAGTCTAAATTTTTAATAACACTTCTCAATTTATTGATACTATTTTAAATTTAAAAATGTTAGAAATTTTAAAAGATTTATTAAAATTTTTATTAAATATCTCACATAAATATAAAATCTACACCATATAAATCTCATACAAGTTATATATTTATATAAAATATTTAATATACCTTTTAAAATATCTAACATTATTCTTTTAAATTTTTCGAACATTACATTACTTTATAGATCAAAATTAATTGCGGTATTAGAGAGTAAGAGGGGAGAGGGTCGTTTTCAGCATTTATGTTCCTTATAAATGCTTATAAAAAGCCATGTTTTTCAGTGCCACAGTTGAATGGTTAAAAGACAGGCACTCGTCGCTCTCCAACAAAAAAATACAAGACACAAACAAACACATTTGCTCTCTCTCTTTTTTTTCTCTCTCTCTCTATCTCTCACACACACTTACACTTTTATCAGACCAGGTGTCCCAGTTTCCTTTCCATTTATTTACCTATTTTATTTTGAAAAAAATTAGAGTTCATGAAAATTTTGTCATGAAAATGATCATGAAAAATTTATGATCCTTGGATTACATTGATTAGTATGTAGTGTTTCATTCTAAATGTAATCCAAGGGTCACGAAACTTTCATGATTATTTTCATGAAAGGTTTTTCATGATACCTAGCATTGCTGTTTTATTTTTTGACACTAAGTTTTTAATTAATTTATTAGATGTCATATACTACCCAACAACACTGTAAGACCCATTTTTGAAAATGATAAAATTAATTTTTACCAAAAAAAGAAAATGATAAAATTAAAGAAATTAAACAGTAAAGAGGATTCATAAAGACATGAGGTATGGGTGTTAGTTTTCTTTCACAATTCAAACCAAAGCAAAATGGCCAAGGACCATATATGGTGCCCCTATTGGGTTTCAATTTCCACTGTTTTCTTTTTGTTTCTTTTTTTTTGGGACCACGTGCCCCATTTGAAACCTTTTGATAGATAGAGGTCAATCTTTTTGGTTCAGTGGATAGCTATGGCTGGCACTAAGAGGTTTTATTAAATTTGATAGTGGTGTTGTTCCTTGACATGAGATCTCAGGCTGATTGTTTGAATTTGATATTTGTTGTTTGAGGAGAATATATAAGGAGTTGCGCATGAGAATTATTTCGGACTTTATTTTTATCATCTGAATCGTTCAATTTTTAAAGAATTTCGTATAGAACATACTTGTAAAAAATCAAGTTGATCAGATATTCATAGACCCTTCATTAATTCAAATTTGTATATATAAAAAATAAATATATAAATATTAAATTGAATACAAATGTGAGTTGATGAAGGGTTTATCGATATCCGATCAATTTAATTTTTTACAAGTATATTCTACTCGATATTTTTTTAAAAATTTAACCATTTAGATGATAAAAATAAAATCCGAAATAATTTCCATGTGCTGCACAACAGTCACTGCTGCGCAAGTCGCATAATAGTGACTCCAATTCTAATATATAATAAATATTAGGAAAACTAGTGGTGAACGTAGAAATTGTACAAAGGTATTAAATTAAAATTATTTAAATTTTAGAAAAAAATTGATATAAGATTATATAGATTTTGGAAATTAAAATATTAATTTATTTTATAAAAACTCAAAATGACATGAAAATAATGAGATTTTTCAAAGGTTTAGGATGACTAAAATATTAATTTATTTTATAATTACTAAAAATTGCATGAAAATAATGAAGATTTTCAAAATTTAATATTGCAAAAATAAAATTATTTAGATTTTGGAAGGATTGACGTAAAATTATATATATTTTGAAGGGGCTGAAATATAAACTTCTTTTATAAATATTTAAAATTGCATGGTAAATATTTAATTTTTTAGAAGTGGCAATGGCTCCCGCCTACCACTCCGTGTCCGCCATGCACATAATTTTGTGGTTTGAGTTATATATTTTATGAGATAATTTATGTAAGTTTATAAAAATTTACATGATTTTGTAAATTTCATAATTTTTATGAATATATTTAGTATATGAGATATTATATATTTAGTATAGGAGAAGGATACTATGTGTTTAGTATAGGAGAAAGGATAATATGTATTGTGGGATTATTTTTAGGAAAAATTACTCATAAATCCCATTTTGATAAATGTTGCTCTAGTTAGTCTTGAGTGTTTTTTCTTTATTCATTTAGTCCTTTTTATTTTTGGTATAATATATGTTTTTGGTATATTATATATAGAGTTTACA